GCAAGCTTTATGATATTTATCATTAGAACTTAAACTTTGACTTCAGCTTCCCCCATGAGTGGGGGGTACCTATATAGCAGTTAATTAATAGCAGTTCATTAGCTGTCTTCTTGCTTCCCAGTATCTCTGGGTTTCCGTCGTCGTCTTTAGGGCTGGACACCGAATCAGGTGGGTCTTCTCTATTTCCTTCTGTAGGTTACATAGAGGGCATGTGGGTTGAGTGTACACACCTAATCTGTGAAGGTGTTTTGCCAGGCAATCGTGTCCGGTACGTAGTCTAAACTCAGCAACGGCTTCGATTCTTGGCCAGTCGGCTATATCGGAGAGTGTCACTGTCCACTGTGGGGAGAACATGCTTTCATGAATATAACTGTCAAAATCAATTTATTCAGTGTACTATAGTGGCCCCAGGATAAAAGAGACGTCTTGTGACGCGTTGATTTGCGCATCGTTGTTCTTGGGGAACATTTTCGCCACTTCCTGTGGTCCAGTGAAAGTTCACTATGTTCTTTCTCCTAATATTCTGTACTGACTACTTTTAAATAAAACTAGTTAATGTTAGTTCACCTTGTCTGTGGTGCCGTGGGACATCTTCTCTCTTGACCACCCTGCTTCGTGCGGAAGACATTAATCCTATTATTCAATTAAAAAATTGCATATAAATGTACATTTGTTTTCAAACAAAACTCGCTGTTACCTTTGCACGGTAGTTGGCTGCTTGAATTTAGCTGTGTCCATGAGCTCATTTTAATTCCGCTTTTTTCCCATTATCGCGTTGCCATCGCGACTGAAATACTGAAATCATTTTCTGAGAAGCCAAGGAAGTCAGCTTTCAATTAGGAATTAATGAGGAAAATTAAATTTAAATGCAGTTTTGTTTTAAGACCCACGCATTTAATAGTTCCATTTTTTTGTTTTTAAATCACTTCAATTTTAATTATTGTTAGTTCTACACATCGGCGGCGATGACGTAGAAGAGGAGAAGATTTTAGACGCTGATGCAACTTCCAACGAGGATAAACTGATTCACTGTACACTCCGTGGGTGCAAACGATTCTGGCCACCATTTAGGGAACTTGTTGAAGGGTTGTCAGTAGTTGCGAAGCGTATGCCAAGTGACTACACTGACGCCTTCAGGAATAACAATGTCGGGACGGTGTTGAGCAGCATCCTCCTCATCTACTTTGTTGTGTTTGGGCCTTCGATAACATTTGGAATTCTTATGTGTAAGCATACTTATTAATATTCAAGATTTTGTTTTAATCGTTCGTGACAAAGCTATTAAATATAGTATCTTTTATCGTGAGAAGCTATTTAAACCAACAGAACCGTAAAAGATTGTCCAGCTGTAGAGAATGAAGAAAGCCAATTTATTCGACAACTTCTCAGTGCTTTGTATTACTAATATTTATACTGTTAAGAAAGGTCTATAAAATTCACGTCAATATATAAGGATATATCCAGAAGGACCAAGCCTTCTGGACGTGTTTTCGTACTGATTGAAGCAACGATTTGTAGATTTCAGACAAACGGAATGCATTTCGCGACTTAGAGAAGCCTGTTATTATCTAGAGCTGCCTGAAAAAAAGAGTTAATCGTATGGCTAGACTCTGGGGTGTTTGTATGCAACAAAGGGAAAACTAGCGTCTGGTTGTAATCAAACTAAGCTAACAGGACGGAACAGCCATTCGCCATGCTGTCTGTCTGGGCTGAACTGAGGGTATTGTTAATGTGAGTAGTACGTATACAGGTTTACGCATCTATTAATTACAAATTAAACAGACCTACTAATAATTAAGGGAATGAGCTAATTAAAAAGATAACCTTTAATAGGTCTTTCCTATTAATATGATGAAGGTTGAGGTACTTTAATTCTGAATTAGGCCTTTTTTAGAAAAATGAATAAATGTAGTCTTGTTTACTTCATGCATTCGTAAATTTATTTATTTATTTATATCAAATGGCAGGCGTCTTGATGGTTATCATTAGCCCTTTAGTTTACTTCAGGCTTCACAGAGGGGAAGAAACATCAAATTGAAAAAAGTCGAGGGGGGGAACAGAAGAGTGTTTCAATGATGTATGAGACAAACACAAAGGTAGGGAAAGGTGAAATGAGTACTGTGGAAGTAGTCGAATATGGCATAGAGTGAGGTGATGATAGTTTGAAGTGAGAAGTCAACTGCCAGTTAATTGAATTTTTTGCCGTATGAGTATACGTTGCCCAGGGTGTACCACGTGGAGGTAAGTCTATCGCACATGTTTCTTACTTGTGTTTCGTTTATCTTTTTTCAGTGGAGGAAGTAAATAAATCCTACAATATAAGTTTGAACATCTTCGCCACCGGAGTCCTGACAGTTGTATTCGCATTGCTCGCCGGTCAGCCACTGAGTAGCATCGGTCCCTCTGGACCTAACTTCATCATTGAAACAGTCATCACCCTAGTACGTCCAGTGCTTCTGATTGTAATTTGTCCGTTTGTCAGGAATAATAACCTGACTTCATGGTAACTTCAGTTTGCCACAAAAATGAGCATCGATTATCAAGTTTTTCGATTCTGGGTTGGAGTCTACATAACCGTCTTTGGTGTTCTCCTAATCTCCTTAAATCTTTCGTCTATTGCAATCTACACTAGGCGTTCTTTGGAGGAACTATTAAGCGGATTTATATCTATTTTCCTCATCCTGAAAGCTTTATTCTCAATGTTGAAGGTAGATTGGTCCTAAACTGATGATTTCTTTTTTCACCCAGAACATTCCTCGAAATATTCCTCAACCAGGGAGCACTGAGGATTTAATTAAAGCCTCACAGGCAGCAGTTCACCTCTTTCTTGCCCTTTGTATGTTTATTATCTTAAATTTTATCAACAACTTGAAGAGAAGTCACTTCTTTCGACAAAAGGTAATTTTCCACTCGAATACGGAATCGATGCTTCCCGTTGTAGATACGATACTGGCTGGGAGCTTTTAATGTGCCCTTGGGGATTGTAGTTGTTTCTCTCGTGGCTCATTACTTATTCGCAAGTTATCCTGTTGCTAAACTCGACGTTCCACCAACATTTCAGGCCGATCCCGCGTCTTGGGTATGTGTTATTAATTTTGCGAAGATAAACAATTACCAGCCGTCCTCTCCCCTTACGGTTCACATCAGTGCACTTTTTATTGGCTGCTTCACAAGTCTTCTCATTTTCACTGAAACGGCACTCAATAGGTAAGTTGGTTTTAAAAATCTCATAGTATTCAGGTAATTATATTATAGTAGTAGTATTTATAGTCTTCCGCTAATTTTATTATATTATATGGTAAAAAATAACCGTATAAAGTAAAAGAAAAGGCTTTTCATGCGACTTGAACTCACAATCATGATTTTATTCCTCAATTATCTAGTTTTAATGAACCTAAAATTTGTTCATTAATTCATCGGAATTTAATTAATAATGGCGGCATTATTGAGAAAATCCATTTTTATGGAACTTTTTCCCAAAGTTCGCAGTACTTTTCTATTAACTGCTTTAATTAGTCCTGAGTTGTTATTCAGACATGGCAAATCGTTTCTATTTATAAATGCAAATGCATACCATTTGATTCATTTTGACAATTTCTAGGTGATATGATCCACTTGGCCATTGATGGGAAACCAAATATTAATGCAATAACGACAGACATCCATTAAAGGTAATTCTACAGACATGCTGCCTAAGCCGTGCCTGAATAAAGGAGAGAGGTGACAGAAGTACACTCGATCAACAGACAACTTATTATCTTAGAGATAATAGAACTTTTACTAAGCTAACACTTTGCTAACATTTCTTGATTCCCATTTCATAAAAAGAAGGGAGCAAGAAAGCCGAGGGAGTGCGTGCGAAGGGGGAAGTAGATGGATCTACATCTGATGACTCCAGTGCGTGGCTATTTTCACATTGGGCGATAGTCATGAATGCACTGCTTGGAAGCTACTTTATTTTCATCTACCCATAGTTTGATTGAGCCTTGGCAACAAAGATGTTCCCAACGCGATGAGAGGGACTCACTTCTGATTGGTTAACTAAGCGCTTCGTTCCTTCATGGTTGGCTCGTTGCTATGGTGTCTTAATAGTGGTACACGTAAAAAGTAGTTTGCTGGCTAATGCAGCACCAACGAGATTCTACTATTGAACACGGGTATAGTTAGAGATCAGAAGACATGAAACAATTGTTTTTAAGCACACTGTAAACTCTGTTCAGTTGCACTGAAAGATTATACTAGTTTGACCAAGATTTGATATCCAATTTCTTCCATGTAAAAAATAAATGAATCTCCCTCCACTCATTCATATAGCTTAAAACGCTTCGCTTTAGGTAATTTTCAACCCTTCCGTAAAATGAATAGATTTCCTTAATGTGACTTATTCTTTTGCACTCATTCTAAGCTGCTGAGTACCAGTCCACAACCTTATTGAAAAGAATTGAAGTTTATACCCGCAAAATACCATTTCATACAAACAACGATCTCAAAATTAACAGTTCGTTTCAAAGTGAGGAAAAGTGAGGTATGGGAAGTAAGTCCGTGAGGAGTCAAGTTACTTTGTCTTTCATAAAGCTTAGTCAGAGATGAGCACTCTTTAAGATTGGTGGTTACGAGGGATCATCTAATTCATTTAAAAGATTTTTCTCGAATCATTGCAATCAAGCTGATACTATATTTAGTAAAAATAGCTTTAACTCAATCCGCGTGAATAACTATCCTCAAATTAAATATAAAAAGGAAAAATTAAGTCCAGAATAAATCCCTTTGAATATATTGATTTTTCAAGTCAAAGTTATATTCTTACTAATTCTTTTATGGTAATGCATCAATATTTCCATTAGAAGTTTCATATTTACAATTATAAATAAAATTTTTTGAGTTTACGTCTAGCTTACAATTCACTATTATTTTAATTGCCGTGTCGGCTCTTACTAAAGTTGCTTTATTGGGAGTATTTATTTGTTCCCTCTTGCATCATTGGCAGTTGCTCCATTGTTATACTTTAGCATTACGGCCTTGAAGCCAAAGGCGAAAAAACCAAGTCCCTTCGTGATAGATCATGTATTGACAGTGGTGATATTCCCTCTCACCTGCTGCATTGTGGGCTGGCCATTGATGTCGGGAGTGCCTGTTCGAACAATCGCTAACACGATGGCCCTGGTCCAAGTTGAGTCCCACCCACCTCCGGGCAAATCTGCAGAGTGAGTTGTCAAGTGAATCCTTATACAAAATTGAGTTTAGTGTGTCATGTTGTGATCTGTACACACGTTTTTCAACATAAACTTTACAGATTTCATAAATATCCAACTACAATGTTTGTTAATTTGTAGCAAGTAAATGATAGAATCAAAATTTCCCGATCAGTGAGATTATATATGTTTCGAAAAGCACTTAATTGAACGGGTGGTCAAATTGTGTGCGCGTAGATCTGGCAAATCAGAGCCACGAGTTTGATATTTATCGATACTCATTCAGTGATACAGATGACAGGTCGAATATTACTACTCTTATCAACAATAGAGGTAGTTGAATGTCAGCTTCTAGTAGAAACGGCTGTGAAATAACCACTTTCTACAATAGTAAAGTGTTGTCCGGACTTGGAATTTCTCCAATACGCTCTGACACTAATGACAGGCAAAACGGCTTATTTCAAATTCAGTGTTTCGCTCTTGGTATCACTGTTAATATTAATAAACAATAAACGAGTGCCAATTTGGTGCTAATGGGATATTCGCAGTCTTTGAACGATTAACCTTCCGCTTGATTGTACACAAAAATACCTTATCATTTAGATAATTATCTAGAGTTTTGTTTAATTTCTACCAAGGCAGCTTTGTTATAATTAAACTTTAGTTTAACTCATCATGTTACTTAATCACTTCATAGAAATTAAAAGGGCAAATATTTATAAAGAAGAAAATATGATTTATCTTTCTTAAAACGTGACTCAAACACTTTTATTTAATTTATTAATACGTTTATCCCATGTTATCAAATAAACCTTAGTAAAGATTTTGTTTATTTAGATACTATAATAATAAAGTCACTTATTAAAACCAATTTGCTATTATTTTAGAAATGAATAGAATGACTTTATTGATATTTATGGTTAAAAATTGAAATGATGTCGTAGATAGAGCTTTTTTTAAAATTGGCACCTAGTTTGATCATTTATTGCTTTTGTACGTAAGCAGAGTTTCTAGATTAATTAACAGAGTACAATGAAATTATAGTTTTATTATTAAATGTAGTTCTTAAACACGGTGTAACTTTCTCGATTAAATTTCAAGCACGGCAAAGTACTTTGACAAAAGGAACGGTAGGGCGAGGGTTTCTAGAGAAGTGGAAAATGAGTAACAGGTTTCGTTTGAATTCCGAAGATGTTTGGATATCCATTTTTCGTTTCATTTCGTAGTTGCCTGCATCATATCTCAATATTCTAAATTTCCAGCGACATGCTTTTACACCCAAAATTACTCATGCATATCATTTAATTATTCTTTTCTAAGTACCGAGGGCAGCTGTCCAATTTCCTTGTAAACCACCACTGGCTATTTATTTCTTTCGTTATTTTATTTCCTTCAAGAATTATCAACCTGGTAGAACAGCGAGTGAGTGTACTCATAGCAGGCCTGCTAGTAGTAGTGTCAGTCTACCTTGGAGATATCCTAAGACTCATTCCAGTCGCTGCTCTCTATGGCATGTTCATCTACCTCGGACTGAATGGTCTTCGTGGGCTAGACAGCGTCAACACACTACTTGCTCTCATGATGCGACGGAAGTATTGGGGCGATTGGGAATTTCTCATCAATCTTCCCATCCCGCAACTGGCTGTCATTGTGATTATCAACTTTACCGAACTCGCAATTCTCGTAGTTTTCATTTTCTTAGCTGAGTTTGCTCATGCTGGCTATATCGTCTTACTTATGCCATTAGTCCTCATCTTCTCTGGACTTCTACGAGAGTTTATTCTTCCAAAATGGACATGGCTTGCACCCTGCTTAGATAAGGTAGGTATTTGTTTAATCCTACAACAAACTGGAAAAGCTTTAACGTTTTCATTCATTCAAAGACTATAAAGAACGGTAATAGGTGACAAAAGGAGGGGTCAAAAGAATTCCATCTTATTATAATTTTGGATTCACCCAGACATCCATCACGTCACTAAGTAAATGCTGAATCATGTTTCGGAATTCAAGTTTCAAAAATCGTAATTTAAAAAGTTTGTCATTACAATAATTAGCAAAATATTTAGCTGAAATCCGTCTTTGAGCTCAGTTTCGATTTTCCATTGCATTAATTTGTTAAATTGAAACTGTACAAGAGCAGACAAACTGAACCACTTAGCTTAAATACTCCTTTAGATATGAATAAAGTTAAAATATAAAAGGGATTTCACTGATCTTATTTATTGTTGTTCTCTTTTAACGTTTTAGTACGACAAGCGTTGTTTGGGTGTGCAATCAGTGGATATTTTAAAAAGCCCGGATGTTGGACCTTCTATTCAAATTAACAAGGATTCATCAGTGGAAACCCTCGTTTTCTAGTTTTTCCAAAGATCAGGAAATTTAGCTCCTGGAGCAAGTTTTATCAATCATTTAGCGCATATACTCATAGCCATTATTATCGACCTTGAAATTCGTGTATATTTTTAAACGACAATCACATGTATTCATTCGCTAGTTTTAATATAACACTTATGGATCTAATTGCTGATCTGATATAATTTATTTCTTAAACAAACTTGACGTCTTCTATATTATTATCTGAATCTAAAATAACAAGACTCGATTCGTAAAAATCTTAAAATTGAAAGTCATAATAACTTTACTTATAGAACACATCTTCAAAGAATAGTAGAATAGTCCAATGTTTGAAGACACGCTATCCAAATAATGTTATTCTATTTGCTTTAGAGATTATTTACATTTTCCGCTTTTTGCTTAATATTCCTAATTCACTGCTTTATCCTAATTCTCCAATCTTTCGATCTCAGAGTTCGCTCTGTAAGTTCATATCCTCGAAACTCTATAACCTGAAGGATTATTTGGTTGAATTAAGTGCTGTGCTATACCGTCTCTGATTTAATGGCAAAATAAAGTTATAATCGGGAAATTATAAGTAAAACATTTGAACGAGTTGTTCTAATATAAAAACCCTGCTTTACCAAGCTGATAATTCTAACTTCTCTGGTCTAATTAGCTGACGGGATTTAGAGTGAGCTAACGGTACAACTATTTCATGCATTGCTGAGTATTATTGGCCAATGTGGTCCTCGGGTACGAAATGGGAGTGACCGATTTGAATTGAAGGATTTATTCAATCTGCTTTTAACCGATCGCCCTGCTCTCCTTGTCGATCTTGTCCTTTCACCAATTTTAATGCTTTTCCATTTCCTAGGGATACACAACTCCACTTCGACACTAGTTCCTTCCAATAAACTTTGCATTTCACAATATAACCTTATTTGCACCTCGTCTTTTGGTGAAGATTGTAAAAATCTAGAAAGATGGAAGTACAGTCTCTACCCCACAAATACCAAAGAGATCTAGACTAGTCACCCTAAGGAAGTACAATTGTCTCATTGAGTAGGGGATTCGGTATCTATTTTCCTGCTTTGGAATTCCAAAATTTGACAGCTCACGAGGAAGCTGAAGGGTAGAACAAGAGACCAAAACCTCGAGACTTCCTTGCCAATGAACATCGATTTTACAGTTCAGCAGTTTACCATTCCAATTTTGCTATCAAATCTCCATGTTTTAACAGATTATCTTTTCCGGTAGGGGAGTTAGTCCAGTTAAGAAACCATGGCAATAAAATCGTCTTCCCTCAAAAGCATCAAAAGACACTTAAAAACGCTCATATATTATAAATACGGGGTGTGTGATAGACTTGCCTCCACGTGGTGCACTCTGGGCAACGTATATTCATACGGCAAAAAAGTCTATTAACCGGCAGGTGACTTTTGACTTCAAACTACCATCATCCTACTGTATATCATATTCCACCACTTCAACAGTACTCGCCTCACCTCTTCTACCTTTGTTTCTGCCTCTTTTACATCTTTGAAACACTCTTCTGTTCCCCCCCCCCCTCGACTTTTTTCACTTTGATGTTCCTCCCCTCTGCGAAGCCTGAAGTCAACTAAAGGGTTAATGATAACTATCAAAACGCCTGTCATTTGATATAAATAAATAAATATCATAAATACACACGGCAAATTTGGCTGAAGAGAAACCCACTGCGTAGATGTGTTAACACTATTAGTGACTCATTAAAAATTACGACAAACAACAACTCTCA